GATGCATAAAACTGACCAATATCCCTGGTGCCAAGATTAGGGGAGTCCCTGATCAAGAGGTGGTTTTCATGTACTGTTTGGCTGGATGGAATTCCATAGACTATCGTGGACCCATGAGAAAAAGAGAGGATCACCTGATGGGGCCCTGGAAGATGAACACTATTACTCACTCCTTCCCCTCTCCTGATGCAAACCAGCAACCCATAAAAAGCAGTGGGCACATTTTAATTCTGGGAGGGGCATAGGCCAGAGAGATTCTGGGATGGTTCTGAGCAATATTTTAACAATTTGGTAGATGGTCTCCTTTCACAGGGGAGAACTTAGCCTCTAAGGGGAGACCATCTTCCCATTCCATCCATAAAAACTGGAGGAAAACTTCACTAGACCACTGGGTTCGTGATGTTCAGTCTTGAGGGCTAATCCTGCCTAGTTTCCTCATAAAAGAAGAATCTTGCAGATGCTTGCTGTTTCTCAGTTATTGGAGGACCTCTAACCCCCTCTTTTAGTTTCTCTCCCCTTTATCTCCTTCCACTCGTGCCTTATTGATAACAACTATAAAGAAGTAGTTATAAAATGGTTATGAAACTTTTACTTGAAGTAGAGACGATTACATGGTTTGGGAGGGAAGAGGGAAAGGACTAAATGAAAGAAGGTGACGCTAAGCTGTTAAAGAAAGAGATGAACATTAATAGCAACATCTTGATTTTGTTAAGAGGCGAGTTGAAGCCATCTAAAACAGGCAGGGAACAAGGTGATAATAAGAGAAAATGTGTTTCCCCGACAAAGGAGCAGACAGCAGGGGACAGCACTTCAGGGAAAGAGGTGAACATTAGGGAAAGTGTGCAGAGAGGACGTGCTAATCCCTCTGACTCACACTGGCGGAAGCACGGGCTGTTTGAACTCCTTGGCAACTTCAGCCCCGGCTCAAAGTGGAGCGTGAGGAATGAGAACAAAAGAAAAGTTCACTCTGAGTTCCTCTTGTCAGGGCAGGGGAAATTGCTTTGAGGCCAGCACTAGAAGATGCTAATGGTAGGAAGGAGAACCCAGTAAAAGAAGAACAAAAATGTCAGGTCATCGGGAGCTTGCCTAGCATAAAGGAAATAAAAGCACCACTGACAAGACATTCAGTCAGGATCCCACCACGTACTGCTGTGCGGGTCACTTCTAACCAGTGCTCAGTAGGCTCAAGTCTGCAGCTAACGCCTCAACTGCTCAGAGGATTTGCGTTCACTTGACAAACATAATTGAGCTCTCACTGTGTCAAAGAGGACTAATGCTGGACGGTGCAATGGGAGCCCTTATATCTTTGTAGCAACTGGTTTTGTGAAGTCAGAAGGATCACTGGGAAGTGAGAACTGGGAAATCATTACCGCCCCTGAAAGGGCAGAGCCAGCAGAAAATAGGGTAAGATGTAGGACAGCCGAAGTGGTAACTGGGAAGAAATATGTCTGTTCAGACTCCCTAAGAGGAAAGACACAGCAACTGCTAGCCTTCCTCCCCCAGACCTAACAGTTCCCATCCGTAAGATAGATCATGCTTCCCTCCCCTTTAGGCCTTTTAGAGTGGCCCTGGGAGCTGTGTGGAGATCATGCGATGAAGTTGGGAGAACATGAGAATCTCTGCACGTGGGAACCTGTGATCAGCTGCAGGAGCTAGAAACTAGAGGTGCTTTTTCTGTGTATTTTATGAGCCACTGAGAATTTTAAACTGCTAAAAATAACTTCCCTCCAGATTCTAACTCAAAGGTTGCAAACTAGGCACACCTAGGTTTTGTTGGGCTACCAGTATATATATATATTTTATTATTGTCTAAAGTTTTACATATGTCTTCTTTTTCCCCAATTGACGCCCCCTCCCCGCAGCCATTCCCACCCTGGGCAAGCCCCCACTGCCCCAGTGCCTGTGTCCATTGGATATGCTAATATGAATGCATATAAGTCCTTTGGTTGCTCTCTAACCACCCCGCCCCCCGACCACCACCACCCTACGATTTGTCTCTGGATCTATTCTTTTTTTTTTTTTAAATATGGATCTATTCTTGTTCATCAAATTATGTTGATCATTATATCCTACATATGAGTGAGATCATGTGATATTTATCTTTCTCTGACTGGCTTATTTAGCTTAGCATAATGCTCTCCAGTTCCATCCATGCTGTTGCAAATGGTAAAAGTTCCTTCTTTTTTATAGCGGCACGGTATTATATTGTGTAGATGTACCACAGTTTTTTAATCCACTCATCTGCTGATGGGCTTTAAAAATTGATCCAGCACTTAAAAATGGTGAGATTTCACCTGAAAATTCAGCTTTTTGGCTTCTCCACGAGACTGGGGAGATCCGACAGCACAGCATTGGAGGCACTGCAGCGGTTGGCGAGTGGGTAGCAACTGTCCGATTTGGGCGGACACCTGCGTTCTCTCCGGGTGGGCCACCTCTACCACTCACACTAGGGTGACCACATAACTTGTTGTCCAAACTAGGGCACTTTTGAGAGTAAAGGGGGGTGCTATTAGTAATTATGCCTTCACCACAGACATAAACCGGGATTGTTGTGGACAGTGGACTGTGAGGATGTATGGTGATCCGAACTCACATAGCTTACTAGTACACTGGGCTTGCTCTTCTTCTGTACCCACTGTTATTTGGATTATGTGGTCATAAGTCAGGAACTCTTATGAGGAATAAGGGAGATAAAAGGTGTAAAATGAGAAAGAGACCTGAAAGGTATTTTTTTTAAAAAAAGGAAAGAAATGGAAAAGAATTTTTAAATGAATGCCAATTACACCAAACCTTCAGGTAAAGGCAGAGCCTTGCTGGTGGCTGGCTCAGCATGTGAGTTTGACCTTCCTGGCTGCCTGCCCTACACAGCACTGTCAGTTTTAATAAGCTGTAATCCCGTAGCTACGAGCGAGACTAATCAAACTGTAGAGAGCAGCCTGTTCCTAATCAGGAAGGCACAGGGTAATCATTTAACTCTGTGGGTCTCAGTGAGCTCCAAGCTGCCTCAACAGAAAAAAACATCCTGGGTAAGATAGTTGCTCTCACACTCTCATCTTGGCCTTTGGATGGTCTTTGTTTGAAGTTTTTATTAAAATTCTCTAATTATACTAATATTTGATTTTAAAATGTTTTAGAAGAATCTTTTCCCTTTATTCCCAGAGAATAAAATATTCCTCCCCCAAGGCATACAGGAAACCTCAGACTCCTATTGATTATCCAAGAGTCCACTTGAACCAATCAGAGACCCAAACCCTTTCAACACAGTTCAGGGTGGGAGTAGTCCCCAAACTGGGGGGTGAGAGGGATTTGGGGACATGGAATGGCAGCTCACGTTGGGCACTTAGACCTACAGGTGATAGCGTGGTACTGTAGCTACACATCGCAGTGCCGGCTATTCCGTTACAGGAGTAGGAGCGAGGGGCTGAGTGCCAGCAAGGCTCCAGAAGCATCAGTCCCTTAAGACAGAGGCCCCTCTATTCAGTCCTTGCTTCTCTTAGTCCTTTAACCCAGGAGCAAGTCACAAGCAAGAAGCTACTTAGTGCAATGGGAACTGTTGAGTTTTAGTCAGATGGAGCCAAAGTCTAACCTGGGAGCTAACTAGTGGAAGGAAGACCTTAGGCAACTACTCAACCTTCCAGAAATTCCTGGTAGGCCCTCAGGCAGGGCCCTCAACCTTCCTGAAACTCAGTAACAGGAATAATGTATCAACACTTCACAGCCTTGCTCTACAGGTCAATGAGATATATATGGAAAGCATGTACTGAGGTGCCTGGCACATTAAAAATGCTCCAAAGACTGTAGTTATTATTTTCATTATGTGCTAAGCATGGCCTTAAGATCCCTAATTATGTAATTTAAAGAGACAGACGCATCCCTGACTCTCCCTGGATTCTGCATTTAGTGTGAGCACACTTAAAACAATGACTACAGATGGAATAAATGTAGAAAAATCTTTTTCTATTGGAGACTATTTCTGGTACCATGGAAATTTAATATTTTGTTTAGTAGATCCACTACCAGTTACAGGAAATAAGACAGTATATTTTTAGTTCAAAATGTTTACTGGCCATTGACTTTAATAGGTTTCATTAAAGAAACATTTTTTTCAAATATGCTAATAAGAAAAAGACCCAGAAAAATGGACAATATTGGGCAGAAATTTCAGTGTTTTGAACATAAAACTCATACATTTTATACAAATTCTGGGATATTTATTAATAGTCCTCTAACAATGGATTTGGCATTGAAAGGAATATAAACATATGAACAAGTCCCATCCAATATATTTCAAAACAATCAGATCCTTGAGAACAGAGATTCTTTCATAAGTACCCGTACCATTCATGGAGAGAGGTCATAGGAATGCCCATGAATTCCAAAGTTATGAATTCCAAAACAGAATTACTCCCATCTAATAAAGGTAAACCATAGAGATGGGCATCCAACACATAAAAATGTAGTAACCACATAATAACTTTTTAAAAATGCTTAGTAACACCCACTAAAGTGAACAAACAGCAAAATACAGCACAATAATATAAAACAAATGTAGTTCACAGTCCTACACACAAAACAAAGGCCTCTTGCCCTAACCGGTTTGGCTCAGTGAATAGAGCGTCAGCCTGCGGACTGAAGGGTCCCAGGTTCCATTCCGGTCAAGGGCATGTACCTGGGTTGCGGGCACATCCCCAGTGGGGTGTGTGCAGGAGGCAGCTGATCGATGTTTCTCTCTCATCGATGTTTCTAACTCTCTGTAAAAAAATCAATAAAATATATATTTTTTAAAAAAACAAAAAACAAAGGCCTCTTTTTGGTTCTGTTGTTGTTTTGACAAAAACTATGCGTATAAATGTCTGTATATATTTTAAATTAATTTTTAGGGAGAGGGAGAAAAAGAGAGAGAGAGAGAGATCAATGTGAGAGCAAAACATTGATTGGCTGCCTTCTGCATGCCCCACACCAGGGATCGAGCCCACAACCCAAGCATGTACCCTGATTGGGGATCGAACAAGCAACTTTCGGTGCATGGAACAATGCCCAACCAACTGAGCCACACCAGACAGGGCTGTGTAGGTATGTTCTTATAGAAAACTTCATAAATATAGAAAAATATACAAATCACTGTCACAACCATCAACATGAATGTCACTCCTTTGGGAAGAGTAAAAAAACTCACAGGATCAGAGATGATCCAGGAAGGTCTTTCCAGCCTCAGGATCTGCTAATGCCAATTCACCAGCCACTTCAAAATCCACAGCCAAACCTCTTTTTAGACTCTGAAATGTCTCTAGTATTGCCTGACTCCTGGCTCCGCTGCATTTTCATCAGATCAATGGTGATCAATAAGCAAGAACTATAAGTAAGGTTATGACTCTGATCTATAACTATTTGTTTCCCAAATATTAGAGTTAGATGGAATCTCAGAAGTTCATTTAGTCCTATCCACATGCCTGTCCCCAATTATTCAGGAGGAAACAGGCATGAAGAGGTAGGTGGGTAGCACTGAACCCCAATCCTCTAACTGCCAGTCCAAAGCTCTATCCAAGTGAACATATGGTGGAGGAATCTCCCCAAGTGATGAGGCTACAGTTATTATGTGGTCAGACTATTATTGAACCTAAAGGGCAGACTATAGTGGACCTGCACAACCAGACGCAGCTAGGGAAGCTTCCAGTTAGCTCTAGGGAGACAAGTCAGAAATAGACCATGTAGCCAAACGAAGGAGTGTGCATTGGAGCAATCCGTCAGAGGAGCAATGTGTGAGCCCCACGTTCCATGGAGATGTGCGCCTGGTTAAATCGAAAGAGCCACTGCTGACTGACTATTCTGCTGGAGCAGCTTGGAAGGCAGAAGTACCCAAAAGAGGCCCCTGAGCACATGGAATTAAAGAAAACGCCTGAATGAAGCAGATTCCTTCTCCAGTCAATAGGCATGAGGCCACAAGGCCATGCTGCTCATGACCAATCATCTCCCTTCAAGCTCCAATGCAACTCAGTGTACCCTCAGAATCTCATCACTGCCACTTCAAGGCTGTCTCTTCACATCTAAGGCTTCTGACTAAACAAATCTCTACTGACTAAAAGAGTTAGCACAGAAATATTAAAGGTCATGGTTCAATTCTTTCTGATCAATCCAGGTCACTTAAGTCTTCAGAAAAAAGCTCTTTAGCCTCCTGTGGGCAGAGTTTGGTACAGACGTTCCTTATCTGAGCAGATCGTATTCTCAAATATAAACGATGAAAGCTAAGATCGTTTCTTGTTCTCTGCTTCCCACATAACAACAGTGGTACTGGCTCAATGTGAAGTCAGACCTGTATGCCAGGCTCAAGATGCTTGCCTGCGGATGAGCTCCTTCAGCTGTGCCAGCCTGTCACTCTTCAGTGCTTCCCGGATAGAGTGGAAAAATCCAAAGTAGTGTTCAAAGTTGTGTATCATAAGCAGGACTCCGGCCAACAGTTCATTGGTGACCAGCAGGTGATGAATGTAAGCACGAGTGTGGTTCTTACAGCAGTAACAGGAACACCCTCTCACCAATGGGTCAAAGTCCTCCCGGTACCTGAGAAAGGAAGTTAGAATGACATTCCAGAAAGTGAGGAATATACGAACTCCACAACCTAGGCTGCCTATTCTGCTGGTGCATAACGAATATGGCTAATAGCATCACTGCTAAATGTACTGCTGGGCACCTGCTTAAGAGGGCAATGTGGCCCCAGTCAGCAGAACACAATGAGCCAGGGACTCAGCAGTCCTCCTCAGCTGGATATAACCTCTAGCCTGAGGCTTACAAGGGAGCAGCAAAGGGAGTCCTGTGTTCGCTCCCTCAGGCTGAGCACTGTCAGTCACACTGTAATAACAGGAACGCTGTTCTGATGAATGCACATTTCTCCTTTGGCCACCAGAACTAGTATCAGAAGACAAGGTCTGACCTTTCACTTGCATAGCGTTTTGCAGTTTACAAACCACTTTTTTATATACTATCTCTTTAATCTCATCAACCACCCTTGGAGACAGGCATTTTTGTTGTCATTTTACTGATGAGGACCACTAAGGGGGCTATGAGGAGGGCTCTGAAGCTACAATGCCTGGGTTTGATTCCTGGATCAGAGCTTACTTGGACAAGTCACTTAACCTCCCTCTGTTTTTGTTTCCTCATCTATGATGGTAACAGTGCCCACCTTACAGAGCTGTTCCCCGGATTAAATGAGTGAATATAGGAAAAGGCTTGGACACTGCTGAGCACACACTAAGCACGATATGTGCTACCTTTTATCAGCTATTAAAACGCAGTCAAATGACCTGGCCAGTGTCACACAGGCACGAGCAGTGCTGGGATCCCAACTCCCAAGTCTCCGTAACTTCCAATCTAGCGCTGATATAAGAAAACTCCCATTTCCAGCTAAATCTATAACATACAGAGAACTTTAGTGGTAACCATTCATATTACCGTAACATTTAAAAAATAGAAATGAAACTCCTTGGCTATTTTTTAAGACGTTAAATGTGGTAAACATTATTTCACACCTACAATCAAGAAGCCCCTAGAGAATAGATGAAAACTAGGATTTTCATATTCTTTCATAAGCTTTCAAATCTGAACTATTACTAGATAGGCATTATCATAGTAAGTTCCTTAAAATTTTTAAAAATGTTGTATTTTATCTTGAAATCCCTATTTTGTTCTGTCATTATTTAAAGTAATTGGAAGGAGTAAAAGACAGCAAACAATGGGTTTGGTCTAACCTTTATGACAGCTCTTCTTTTTTTTAAATTAAATCTTTATTGTTCAGGTTACATTTGTTCCTCTTTTTTCCCCCCCATAACTCCCCTCCTCCCAGTTCCCGCCCCACCCTCCGCCCTCACTCCCCACCCACTGTCCTCATCCATAGGTGCACGATTTTTGTCCAGTCTCTTCCCGCATCTCCCATTCCCCTTTCCCCGCCAAGAATAGTCAGTATGACAGCTCTTCTTAAACAATAGTTAACTAGGCTCAGTTTTCTGATAAGACAAAGTACACAACTTCCTCTGCAGAAAAAGGACTTTCTGAAACTGAATTTGAGAAGGCCTAACTAATACCCAACTATAAATATTTTATAAAGTCATAAACCGAAAAGGGAACAGTAATGTAAACTTTTAAAACAGATTGAAATTTAAAAGTCAGAAATCAATATCTAAACTAAAAAAAAAAAAAAAAATCCTTACTTTTTTTCCTTCAGATTAATTTCAAATGATGTCATTTCTTGGTTGCCACTGGCTGTTTTCATTTTCTTTGACTGATCCACATATTGTTTTTCTTCCTGAGTCCCATTTTGTTGTAATACTGAAGGAGAAACCAACAAAAAGTCTTGAATGAAAGTCAGATAAAGAGTGGCCTTTGGGAGTATCTTATTTTAGTTGCTATTTCATGCCCTTAGACTCTGAAATTCCACTCCTGAATCCTATCTCAAGGAAATGACATAAGAAAAATAGCAATATGGCCCTAGCCGGTTCGGCTCAGTGGATAGAGTGTCAGCCTGCGGACTGGAGAGTCCTGGGTTCAATTCCGGTCAAGGGTACATACCTTGGTTGCAGGCTTGATGCCTGGCCCTGGTTGAGGTGCATGCAGGAGGTAACCAATCAATGTCCCTCTCATCATTGATGTTTCTGTCTCTCTCTCCCTCTCTCCCCCCCTTTCTCTCTGAAAGCAATAAAAATATATTTAAAAAGAAAAATAGCAATATGTATAAGGTGATCACAGACCCATTATCTATAAATCTATAATATCAAAATTTGGAGATTCAACAATATCTAAACAAATTATGGTTATAAGTACATAATATAATCTTACTGTCAAGAAATGATTTTTAAAAACTAGTTACTGTGTTTATGTGAATAATGTGTGTGTTGAAGTTATGTCGTATCTTAATGCACATGCAAACTAATTGGGCTTTATAACTGCCTATGTTCCAAATAGATTGAAAGTAGAATATGGTTTAAATTTGTGTACTCTGTATGGAGACTCCAGTCCTCCAGGGAACTCAGATTATCCAGAATTACATGGGGACTTGAATTATTCCCCTGAACTCTTTGCTTTAAGAAAAAAACATTCCTGTAACGTGGGGATAAGGATACATATGTAATAACTTAATCAATAAAAACAAACAAACAAACAAACAAACAAAAATGGTTATTCCAGTCAAAAAAAAAAAGAAAAAAACGTTCCTGGTTTACAAGAGAAGCACCAGTTCCCAAGCACAGAGCCAGCTGCCTTAAACAGGGACAAGTAGATGAGTATTTCTAGGAACAAGTAATAACAATCTCAGGGTTGGCCCAAGGAGAATGGGCAGATGGTCCTAGGAAGGTAATTTGGTCCAAGTTAAAGGAAAAAGAGGATGCGACCTGAGCATTGAGCCCAGGGCTATACTTTGCTGCCATGAATTTGCGTGGTGACATGGGAACCCATAAAAGCCTGGCTTTTGGGAAATCCTTCTCACCGAGGGAATTGCTGTCTACATTAGACAACTTATTCCTTTGTAATTTTCACTTTGTAATTGGCAAAGGACTATAAATTACTATACACACAAGTGTGATTAATAATACTTTAATAAGAATGTTCAAACGATTTCAATTTTCCTAATCATAAATAAAAAGCTTTCTCTGGCCAAAGAGGAACAATATCAGGTTCTTTTTCAATTTTGCATATACATGGTACGGAATGACTAATAGCTACCTATGTCCTTGTGGAAATAATTAAGCTTGTAAATAAAGTCATGAACATTTATAAAGTGTTTATGGTACACCTACCCACATACATTATATTCTGGTCTAAAAGACAGTAAAATTGACTTCCTATATATATAAGAATTTGGCCAACCTGATTTACTTTGTTTTCTGAGTAATTCCAATTAGATCAGTGATTCCCAAAGTGGGGCTACCACCCCCTGGTAGGCGCTGCAGCGATCCAGGGGGGCGGTGATGGCCACAGGTGCATTTGGGGGCGATGAGTAACTGCTATTAAAATTTAAAAAAAATTAATTTCCAGGGGCTGAGTAATGTTTTTTCTGCAAAGGGGGCGGTAGGCCAAATAAGTTTGGGAACCACTGAATTAGATTAACGCTTAAGTTGCTCTATAAAAGTGTAACATCTTCTGAATGAAATTTTGATAACTTATGGGGAATAAAATGAACCTTTAAATGAAGTCTCTAGCCCTAGTCAAATTTAAGGTTGGCGGTGACAGAGGACGAGTTCAAAGGACAGCAGGACGGGAAAGGACCGCACACCTAGGGAGGCCCGAGGAAACACTGGGCATGCAACATTCTCGGGAAAAACTGGGCAGGTGCTTCAAGGGACCCGGCCCAAAGTCAGCATCACGATTCCTTTATTACTGCCAGTTAAATGGCAGAATCGGAAACTGATTTTCCTGACTTCTGAATAACTAAACAATAAAATAAAATGGCAGTGTTCAAAGCAATAATCGCAGCGGAAAACAGCTTTCACATCTCAGTGTGCACAAAAAAGCAAAAGTAACGCTAGGATCAGGGTGGTGAGACTCCCTGTATTTTAATAGCAAAGGATTTGCAAAAAGCAGACAAGAACTCTTTTGTGAAAAAACAAATTAACTTTTACCAAGCAGTTCAAGGTTTTCTTTTCTTAGATTTTCATCACTATTCACTCTGAATGGTCTTTTTCAGGCTGTTAATAGAAGAGGTTTTGTGTGTGTGTTGTGGGGTTTTTTTTTGTTTTTGTTTTTTGCTTCTGCTAACTCCAAAATTACCTGCTAATATTGATGAGCTATGTGTAATAGTATTAAGTACCTGGGTTGTGTGGACCAACATGCCAGAGCATACAGATAAGAAACAAAGATGAAGTTTTATAAAAGGCTGGCTTTATAATATGCACATATTTCTGGCTGGCATCACAAGCCAAAACTGATAGGAAACAGAAGAAAGTTAGGATAACACTGAGATGAACTTCAAAAGACCTACATGTCTGCTCAGGATTCGGCTGGTAATCAAAGCTGAAAGTCAGGGCACCTCCCCGCTCTGTCACTTGATAAGGGAAAAAACTCTCAAATAAGTCCACTCCTCTTTCAATACACTCGAGCACCTCATCTGGCAGGCTAACGCCACAGATGAGCCTGTGAAAATAAGAACACTGACATGAGGACAATGCCAGGACTCAATGAGGGCATTAAAATAATAATGAAAACCATCAGTCATAGTTAGCATGGCAGGCAGCAAATAATAAGATGTGGTGGAAAGAACCTTTACTTGGGAGGCAGACAGAGCTGGGCTAGAGAGCTCTGCTATTAATTTACTTGCTGTGTTCTTTGGGAAAGTTTCTTAACCTCTCTGAGTTTTTGTTTTCTCATTTTAAAAACTAGAGGTCTGATGCATGAAATTCATACAAGAGTAGGCCTTCCTTCCCCTGGCTGCTGGCACCGGCTTCCCTCCGCCCCGGTTTTTGTCCTGAAGGACGTCAGGTCTAATTAGCATATTACCCTTTTATTATTACAGATAAGAGCATTAATACATACCTCACAGAATTGTTGGGAGAACTAATGAGATATTTGAAAAAGCACAGTGTAAAGGTTAGTTTTCTTCCTCCTCTCATCTGTGCTGAACAACTTCCCTAGTCTTAGACTGAACTTTTATAGCCTACCTATCCACATGGATTTTTTTAAGAGTGCAAAGCTGTGTGCTTTAGTTCCCCCTCAAATACTTCTATGTTTTAACTGTATGTTGCCTATAATTCATTTTTATAATTGGTTCCAGAAAGGCATTTTTATCATAGGTTCATTTACAAAGCAACTCTTGCTCTCAGAATTTCAACTATGCCCATAGAATCTAGGAATCTAGTTGGCCTTATTTATGCTTCTTTATATTTTCACCATGAATAAAATGTCTGCATGGTGGGATGAGGTGGTAATTTTAGAGGTATGGGCAAGGCATTCTGAGAATATTAATACTCAACCAAGGTTTTACCACTAAAACAACACCGGAAGATGCTAGATCAGGGCTGGTTGGCTGCTGTTTTTTATGTTTGTTTTTCTACCCATAGTTCCTTTTATGAACTGGCAGAGAAAAGCTTACAGACTCTCTGATTTCTAAAAGAAGTCCAAAAAAGGCTTATGTAATATTAAACAACCAGAACCCTTAAATATACTGTTTTTTCTGACTACAGTTTCCCTCAAGTAACGTAATGTCTTAGACCTCCTCTCCAACTGAAGCTGGAGTTTCTACACACTTATAGAAAGAAAAACAATCCCAGCTTTCAAATCCAGTAACAGACATCTGTGAGCACTTAACTCAGAGAAGTCCAGAAAAAGACTAGAAATACTAACGCTAAATTGTAGTCTGTACCGGAATGGACTAGGAGGGGGAGCAATGAATACAGACAATGGGGTTAAAATCAGGGCAAATGCTGCCTGGGGTGATGAAAAGATATCATTCTGGCTGGTGTTTACACAAGTGTGTGTGTGTAAAAAGTCATCAAGCTCTGCATAAGATTCACACACTTTACTGAAAGTTATAACTGTTTTTAAAAAGTAGTAAAATTGCATGTTAGATACTAGCCCGGGGTATAAAGCAGCACATCATAATCAGACCTCTTATGATATCTATAGGAAAGAGCATAAATATTCACACCAAGTGGGAAAAAGACTATTCTTTAAAAACACAAAATTGGGGGTAGTCTAATAAGACATCAGCTGCACTCCGAAACTTGGGACTTTTAGCTTTGAATCATGTAGATCATCCCTTCTCACCAGCACACAGTAAAACCTGGGATTTATGGAAAGAACCACAGTGTTGCCGGCCCCCTCAATTTCAAAATATGATACCACTGCCTCAAATCTACGAAGTTCTTATTAGTAGTGCCCATCTTCATTCTGCTAGGCAGCACAGATTCATCCTCAGCTCTCCCTGAGGAAGGCCAGAGTCCCCACAGCTTATACCTGTCCCTGGAAACCATGTTCTAATGCATAGGAACAGTGCTTGCATTTAGCACAAGAATGAGGAGAAACAGTATGACACTTGTCCTCACTTAGAATGAGCATCAAATAAATTCATTCATATGGCAACTGTCCTCTAGTCTACATCCTGAACCAACCACAGGACAGCCTCGATGGAAATTCCCCCTGTGGTCAGCCTCAGCAGACTCAGACCAGAAAGGACATCACCAAAACATTGAAAGAGCCCTAACTGGGAGCGTTGGCCTGCGGACTGAAGGGCCCCAGGTTCTATTCCGGTCAAGGGCATGTACCTTGGTTGCGGGCACATCCCCAGTAGGGAGTGTGCAGGAGGCAGCTGATTGATGTTTCTAACTCTCTACCCTCTCCCTTCCTCTCTGTATAATCAATAAAATATATTTTTTTTTAAAAACATCGAAAGACATGCCCATGTATAGACTGCACAATACTCAACCCCCAGCACTCCTGTTCTGCCGCCCATGAAGCTCAGCCAGCATCCTCACTCAGCACTAGCCTCGGTTTGTCTTCCGGCAGCTCCGTGGTAACTGACGACAGCAAGTCCAGTCTAGCGTCCAGAGTTGTTGGGTTCCCTTGAAAGCCATCCAGAAGGAAGCCACCTACAGGCCGCTTGGCTGTCTCTCGTGCTGACCTCAGCCTCTCCTCCATCACATCTCCACCTTCAATCACTCCAATGATCGTACTTTTCTGAAGGACCTAAGGTAAAAAAGGACTGAACAATTTTAACCGTTTCCAGGAGTGGAGATCTTTGTCTAAAATCTAAATGAACCTTACAATGAAGCCCAATGGACAGACAAGATCTCAGTGGGAAGCACGCAGGGAATGGTGCTGTCTCTGCTTCGAAGAGCACAATTTGAAAGCCACCCAAGTATGAAAAGACTGTGTGGAGAAACTGAAGCAATCGGCAAACGCAGCCATGCTTTAGCTTAGATTAAATTAAATGCATGCTGAGCAGGTACAAGAGGATAAAGACAAAGGGATAGTTTCAATATGTTTAAATGACTATCCAGGCCTGCTTGAGGTCCCCACCACGTCATTATTAATTAGAGTCAACTTTAAGAACTTCTAAACTATTTGGTTGGGACAATGGACTATACATTTGGAAAACAAAAACAAAACAAAAAAACCCCTACTGCACACCATCCTTAAAAGTAAAACTAAACATAAAAAAATATAGTTATGCAAGTATTAGAAGAATATATTAAATATTTTTTTAATCTTGGTCTAAGGAAGGCCTTCCTAAGCAACCTAAAGCTTACAGTCAAAGGCTGACATATTTCAGTACAAAAACATTAAACCTTCTCTAGTAAAATATACTATCAACTTACTCTTTGGAGGAATAGGTAAACATCTACACCACAGAAAAAGCTCCAAAAATCCTCTAAGGAAATGACAACCCTATTGAAATCTAGACAGATATGTAAATATGAACTTCCGAAAAAGAAATGTAAATGCCCTGTACACATATGGAGAGCTTACCAAACCTCACACAGTGAGGAAATGCAAATTGGAAACAATTAGATACCATTTTTGCCCATCACACTGACAAAAAAGCTCAAAGATAACAACACAGTGAAAGTGAAAGTGAAAAATGTACTTACATACCCCGATAACTAGAAAGTAAAAATTAGTCCAGCCTCATGGGAGGGCATGTACACAACACGTATCACAATGTCTGTGGTTTCATCTTTATATCCTAAAATTTCACTTCTACAAAGTTCTACAAATATATTCACGAGGAAAGAGTTTCAAGATATTGTTAAGCAAGGAACAAGGAAATTTCTGAACATATGATTGTACTCATGTTATAAAAACCACATATATATGTAATAATTATGTGTATGTCACTCTAAATATAAGCTTCGCAAGGAAATACACAAGTCAACAGTGGCTCTCTGGTAGAACAGAGGGGTGGGGAGGGAGCCTGGGAGGCTGTGAAGAGGGAATTTTGCTTCTTAAACAGGAGGGGCATCATCACACTATTCCTCCAGAAAGAACACTTTGGATATTGTGTGGAGAGTGAATTAAGAGGGAGTATGGCTAAAGGATGGGGCAGGAGGCAATGTAATAACCCAGGTAAAAGTCCAAGAGGACCTGGTCTAAGGCAGTGCCAGTGAGGTGAAGAGGGGTGGATCTGAAACCTCATCAAGTGGTACAATCAACAACTGATTAGTTGTCCAAGAAGAGGATGAGGACAGTCTAGGTCCTAGACCAGCCGTGGGCAAACTACGGCCCGCGGGCCGGATCCGGCCCGTTTGAAATGAATAAAACTAAAAAAAAAAAAAAAAGACCATACCCTTTTATGTAATGATGTTTACTTTGAATTTATATTAGTTCACACAAACACTCCATCCATGCTTTTGTTCCGGCCCTCCGGTCCAGTTTAAGAACCCATTGTGGCCCTCAAGTCAAAAAGTTTGCCCACCCCTGTCCTAGACTCTAGGATGACTCCTGGCTCCTTTTTGGAAGTCCAGGGAGATGCTGAGAAGAGCAGACAGATAATCCTAAAAAAAAAAAAAAAAAATAGTGAGCCCTAACCGGTTTGGCTCAGTGGATAGAGCATCAGCCTGCGGACTGAAGGGTCCCATGTTCGATTCCGGTCAAGGGCATGTACCTTGGTTGCGGGCACATCCCCAGTTAGGGGGTGTGTGCAGGAGGCAGCTGATCGATGTTTCTCTCTCATTGATGTTTCTAACTCTCTATCCCTCTCCCTTCCTCTCTGTAAAAAATCAATAAAATATATTTTTTAAAAAAATAGTGAGGCTGAGACAAGATGAACATCCTGTTTTGTGTATTCTGAGTTTGAGGTATCAGTGGGACATACACATTTAGCCACGGCAGAGGCCTGATTATGGACATGTGAGATACACAAATGTGAGTGCCCAGGCTAGAACGGTAGACCCTTGGCACTGGGCAGCCACTCCCGACTCTTGCTTCCCCGGCAGACATACCTAACAGACCACTCTCTTCCTGCTCGTACCAGGCACAGCTCCAAGCACCTTGGGATGAAACCTGTTTGCCATCTACGGCCTAGGGAATGTATAAAGAAGAAAAGAAGTCCAACAACAGAACCTTGGGGAGCCTCAACACTTAGGGCACTCAGAATAAGAGGATCCAGTGAATAAGCGGGGAAGGAATCATTGGAAAAGGAAAAGATGTATACAAAGCAGAGTTACACAGGCTTGCTCCTTTGTGTGAATGACACAGCCCTATCTGAGAAATTCCCTTTCATGGGTATAAGAAGCAGGGTCACATATAGTTATTGTCTAAAATGGAACACATTTGCCCTGACCAGTTTGGCTCAGTGGATAGAGCGTCAGCCTGCAGACTGAAGGGTCCCAGGTTCGATTCCGGTCAAGGGCATGTACCTTGGTTGCGGCCATATCACCAGTAGGGGGTGTGCAGAAGGCAGCTGATGGATGTTTCTCTCTCATCGATGTTTCTAACTCTCTATCCCTCTCCCTTTCTCTCTGATGGATGTTCTCTCATCGATGTTTCTAACTCTCTATCCCTCTCCCTTTCTCTCTGTAAAAAAATCAATAAAATATATTTTTAAAAAAATAAAAATTAAAAATAAAATTGAACACATTAAAGAGTATAGGAGGCACTATTAATAACCATATCAAGACAACAGCATAAACATAAGGGGTACAGAGAGGAATCCCAGCATTTGACTGACACACGAAAATAGTGTGAAATGGTGAGGCTGAGTATACATAGAAGAAAGACTTGAGGAGCATCTGGCCTTTCTAATAACCATGTCCTGTCATACTCTGTCCTTTTTACTCATCAAACATTACTCATTTACAAGGATAATTACTGGCTCAAAACAATGGCTAGTGAGCAACACTAGCAATTCAGACCCACAGCAGTGTCCCAGGCTGAACTCCTATGGCAGATACTGAGAGTTCTATTCTGAATGACAACTAAGTTTCCTCTCATTATTTTGTGTATACTAACTGTATTAGTCAAATTACATTTTTATGGGTAAACTCAAAATGACAATGTTCCTCCAACGGAAGCACCTGCCACAGTGGGAACTGATCGGAGCTCAGGACGACCACCTAAATCGTCAGACCCTGATTCTCCCCTCTGGTCACTATCTCCTGAACTCCTACCTCCTCTGCGTTCTCCTAGTGAACGCGTCCTTTTCCAACGTCACTACCAACTCTGCTATCGGGAGCCCTTATTTACAGCTACAGCTCCTTCCCCAGCCATCATAACCATTCACCATCAGTATTTACGGAGGGTGTCAGGAATTTTGCTACATGATGAAGATACAAAAATAACACACAGAAATTGAGCTTAAGGAGGTCAAAGTTAATAAAGACAAACACATAAATCATTGCAGCACAATATGATCGGGGCTATAATATAGCTACATCCAAATGAAAGGAGTGACAAAGAGTGAAAAGAACTTCCTGGGAGGGTCAGAGGCAGTTTCCTCAAATGAAAACAATGGAATAAATGAGCCGGAGCTGGAAGCAAGAGAAACATGGCTGAGAATAAGAAAAAAGCAGCAGACCAGAAGGAAGTCTGCATGCAGGCACAGTGCCCTGAAACAGGAAATGCCTCAGGGAACTGCAAGTGCCAGCCACAGAGAAAGTAGGCCACACTGGGTGGAGAAACAGGCAGAGGCCAGGTCTGCAGGCCGTCCACGCCATGTAAGAGCTGAAGTGGAGAACCTCAAATTCTTTTAGGAAAGTGGGCAACCGGTTCATGTTTGTGCTTTACGAAGATCTCCTGGATGGCAGGGCTGAAGAAGGACTGGGTGGAATGGAGAACAGAGGCAGAAAGAACAACTAAATAGTTATTTACATAAGAAAATCTGAAGTTATGAGGCCTTAAGATGGTGATAAGGGCGGTGAGGGGGCAGATTCTAGGTATATTTAGGGAGATGGTATCAAAGGGGAGTGAATATTGGAGATTAAATCGGAAATTGAAAGGAGTCTTGAAAGACTCAACTTTCTGTGTTGAGAAACTTGGTGGCTGCCAAAAACTGAAGCAGAGCATTGATAGAGAGCAAAAGGAAGAAGAGGTTTGAAGAGAAAAGATACGGAGTTTCTTCTCTGAGTTTAAGATGTACATGAGGAATATTCTAGTAATAGAGCCCAGCTAAAGCTCTGTAGTTATGCGATCCTGAAGCTAAGCAGTGTGATCTTGATTGTACCTAGTATTTTAGAACTATCAGCAATAAAAAAAAAAACTAAGGGGAGACTGCCTAATGAGAACACATACAGTGGGATGTAAAGAGAACCTTAGACAGAATCCTAGAGAGCAATTATAATTAATGGGTCAGGAAAAAAAGAGTAGGAGAGCATACAAGAGACCAAGAAGCAAGGAGCAGAGAAGTAGGAAGAACAGAAGAGGCAGTGTCATGCAATGGCAATTAGCAAGAGTTTCAAAGAAAGAGTAGCAGTGAGATGCACAGCTTTACCTCTGACTCTTCCTGCAGCCGCAGACAATGATCCAGGAATAGCAGCGATCGGTCAACAGACTTCCTGGCTCTTTTTATGGAACTTGCTTCCGCACAAGATGCTTCTCCATCTGAGAGGCACTGGAACCAGTCTGGCTGAAGGGCCTGCTGAATTGCCATGAACTTGGAAGCAGTCATTTCCACTCGTCCTCCAACACCCCACACAGACACAGACTGCCAATGAACAAGACGATGGGGAATTAGCAAAAGTGAAATGCAAATAACAGAATGCTAAAGCAATTCTGAATTTAATTCTTCTTTACAACTCGAAATGGTAGCAATTCAACATCCTAGACATGTGAGTAAAAGAAGGTTCCTATACTAAACTCCAAATTCTCTAAGAACCTTGTTGCTCACAGAGAATCCTTCAAGGGCCATACAAGCCAACGTCTGAGCTTGCTCCCAAGAATTGTTACACTTTCCTAGAAGCCCAGTCTTCCAGTCTCCCCCACCCCACTCTACCCATGCTGTTCCTGAATACACCGCAGACTTTGATTCTTCTGTCTTTAATCACATCGCTCCTTTTGACTGAAGTCCCTTCCCCTACTCCTTTGCCCGACCCTTCAAGACAGAGTTCAAATATCACCTACTCTAATGTGTTCCCCAAACTTCCCTGGCATGACCAATTGCCTCACCCACGTTCTTTCAGAAATGTGTGCTTACTTCTTTTATAGAAATGATAGCACTTAGCACACCATTGTATATTTGACTAGAGTATCCCAATTCATGTTGTGCCCCAAAAGCACAGTCTAGGGCCTTACACATCATTAAGCAATTACCAAGTTGAGTTACATACAAAATTATGTGCTAAGACATAAACCCCATAGTACATGAGAACTTCTATATCAGTGGTTCTCAACCTTCCTAATGCCACGACCCTTTAATACAGTTCCTCATGTTGTGGTGACCCCCAACCATAAAATTATTTTCATTGCTATTTCATAACTGTAATTTTGCTACTGTTATGAATCATAATGTAAATATCTGATATGCAGGATGTATTTTCATTGTTACAAATTGAACATAATTAAAGCATAGTGATTAATCACAAAAACAATATGTAATTATATATGTGTTTTCCGATGGTCTTAGGCGACCCCTGTGAAAGAGTCATTTGACCCCCAAAAGGGTCACGACCCACAGGTTGAGAACTGCTGCTCTATATGTTCCTTTGGTTACTTCTTCTACAGCTCCTCTCTTCTCTGAAAAGATTGACAAGGACATAGGTGGGGAAGCGACACGCAGTCTTTATTTTGGCATGTTTAAATGAATCCTCTCTCCTTTATAAATAGGGTAGATAAATGACATCAAAATATTTTCTTTTGAATACAAATTACAAAATAAAAAGAAGTGTAAAGCAGAAGAGTAATTTAAAATAGTAATCTTAGTAAGATTAATACATATTGTTGACATCAATAAATTGGGTGCAGGGAAAGGAATTGCATTTGTAAAGTAGTAGTGTATACATGGGTGGGCAAAGGAGGTTTGCAGTTATTCATATGAAAAAATATATAAGAATAAGTAATAATACAAGAATAAACTGTGTTTCACATACTCACAACTGTGAACCTCCTTCTGCCTACACTGTACTGAAACCTTGCCACAACACTGTCCTCAAGGACAATGCAATGGGGCCATGTCTCAAGAGAAAACTTTTAATGAAGTCCTTTTGATATTCCTCTTCACTAGCTAAAAGGTGGACCCAGTTTTTTTAAATTCTGTTCTAAAAACAAGCAGTATTACACTGAGGTTCCACTATATATAGTTGGACATGTGATAACACTCATCAGCAACTTTCCCCACTCCTCCTGAGGTTGTTAAAACTGCAAATAAAGCATGGTATCAAAAGACTACTGTTTTCTACCCTCATAGCAATTTCTTTTTTGGGAATGTACTTAACCCTTTTCCAGCCCCAAATTTTTGTAACAATGAGAAAGCTGAGGATACATTCTTTACCTTAACCCCATCCTCAGGCAGATCTCCTTTAACTCCTGTAAACCACCCATCCTACTATATTCATAAAAATAAAGAGAAGGCAAAAAGCGGTCAGGAATGGGCCAACATCCCAGGCAGAGGGATACAGGAGGCTGACTTCCTGGGACAAAGTTGTAGCCTTGGAGGAATGTCTGAGAACATACCTTGTTTGTTACATAACCAGCTGGGCAGGGGCTGACTGGATCGTGCAGGGAGCAGTACAAGAGCGATTCTGGCATGCCTGTATAAACATAAACAAGAACCCTTGAAAGCACTTATATCAACAATTACACTGTGTTGTACCAGAACAGCTTCATGATGTATACTGCTAGATAAAGCAACACTGAGCCCAGTAAATGGCTCATATATGCACTTAGAAGTACAGGAGGCCTGTCAACATGAATGAAAAATACTTTGAAACCCACTAATCTAAATGAATTAACTGCAAAGGTTCATTTTAATGACATAGTGCATTGCTACAAAGGGAAGGTATATCTTAAGGATGAGATACAATGAAAGTGTTTAATGACACGTTGACCCGACTCAATTTGCTTTGAAGACGAATTTAGTATCAATTATGTTCATTGTAGTTACTATGCAAGGGGAACTAGCTCCTGGAAAGATGAAATGATCTAATCCAGGGGTCCTCAAACTACGGCCTGCGGGCCACATGCAAATACAAATATTGTATTTGTTCCCGTTTTGTTTTTTTACTTCAAAATAAGATATGTGCAGTGTGCATAGGAATTTGTTCATAGTTTTTTTTCAAACTATAGTCTGTCCCTCCAACGGTCTGAGGGACAGTAAACTGGCCCCCTGTTTAAAAAGTTTGAGGACCCCTGATCTAATCAAAAGATAATCTCATTAATGATAAAGCCATCCCACATCATGAGTCCCTAGAGCAGTGATGGTGAACCTTTTGAGCTCAGTGTGTCAGCATTTTGAAAAACCCTAACTTAACTCTGGTGCCACGTCACATATAGAAATTTTTTGATATTTGCAACCATAGTAAAACAAAGATTTATATTTTTGATATTTATTTTATATATTTAAATGCCATTTAACAAAGAAAAATCAACCAAAAAAATGAGTTCGCGTGTCACCTCTGACACGCGTGTCATAGGTTCGCCATCACTGCCCTAGAGGCAGAATTAAAAGCTGTAGGATAGTGCAAATGAATCTCATTTTCAGTAAGTTTCACTGACTCAAGATGATAGTTTCTTAGGTTCTTTAGTCAAAAAAAGTTGTTTTAAAAAAAAAATCCAAAAAAAGTTTAGCTAACCATATGTGCTTAAATTTCATATGCTACCCTGCATTTTCATAAGAAAAAAAATAGAATTTCAATGAAAAAAGACCCCCAAAATAAAGCAAATTAAAAAAAAAAAATCTCTGCAGTTCTTCACCTCATTTTCCACAATCTCAACTGCTACAATTATCTGTAGGAAGCTTATATTAGCTATTTTCACTTAATTTTAGACTTGTATACTTTAAAGCTGGCTATTAAAACTGGTCTCATATCAAGAAAAACTATATTACATAAATTCCTCTACTGAAATATGGGGCCTTGTGACAAACAAGTCATCATGCAGTTTCTCTCATAAGCAGACGATTGAATAACCAATGGAAACAGGATTTTTATTCACTTAAGTGAGCCTTAGATATTGGAAAAAGCTTCAGGAGAAAATGGTCTGCAGAAGAATTTATTCTCTAGCTATCACTGCTAAGCTTTTCCTATAAATAAATGGACACATACCCCTGCATTTAAAATCCTAGTTCTGGACCAAAAGAAAACATTAACATATCAGAAGGTAGCAATACATAAACTCTTTGTCCTCTGCCTTATGTTTTAGGCCCAAACCTAACAAAACTCCTTTGGATCTTAGGGAGTTTCCATGCAGTGTCTCACTTCTAGGTCTTTGCTCTATGCCTGGAATATCTGCCCATACCTGTCTACTACCACCCCCTCCTGGCCTGGCTAACTCTTCCTTGATCCAGCTAAGGAGCCCCTCAACTTCTCTCTCAAAAATTCTTTCTTTACTCTGACCTCCTTCCAGCAGGTTATGTGCTTCTCCCTCTGGCTCTCATGATACATGTACATATCCCTAATCTTCAAATGTAGTCACCACTCTACTGGAATTACCTGTTTATTTTTATCCCAACTAGGTTCTGGGTTCCATGAGGGCAATAATTGTTCCCTATTCATCTTTGAATCCCCAATGTCTGGTTCTCAGATGCTCAATAAATGCTTACTAAATTAATGAACCAGCAAATGTATGAATGAAAGATCAAAGAATAAACAGCACCTCCAAACTCCAAATTAATACATCATAAGGCACACATGAATAACTTAATTAATTTTACCTATAAACTTTCCAACTCCTTCCTTATATTCTGTCAAGACTTCGTGATATTCTGCCCTGTAAGTAAAACAGAAAAATACATAATAATGAATCATTCCACAGACACTCGATACAACAACTGAAGTCCTCTTCTCACCCAAACATGCTACATGACAGTAAATGTAGTCTTGAACAACAAATACACCATTACTCAAGAGTCCCAACTCACCAGGCTAGATGTATTAGCCAGAGTAAAGGTTTTTAATCTGCAAGTGGTTCTGTGAGAAGAGAAACTGGCAAAGTTCAACTGCTCCAGAATATCTTGATTTCTTCTTCCCCATCCCCTTCCAAATCAGTTTATTATTAACACAACTAGAGGCCCAGTGCACAAATTCGTGCAGGGGTGGGTCCAGCAGGCCCGCCCCAATTGGGGCTTATGGGGGTGAGGGGGGGTGCCACA